TGAAGGAGGGATTAAATAATTCCAAGATAGGCAAAAGTTGAGGGAATTTACCTCCCACAAGCCATCTCTACACTGTATTTTAAAGGGACTGTTCTAAATGGAAGTATGCCTAAGGCCAAATAGCTGTCACTGGAAAAAATGAAACCACAGCAAAGAAAGACTAACCAAATACTAACAAAATGCAAAATAAAATCAGCTATCCAAAAAATCAGTCAAGGGAAACAAAAAGAGTACTGAATAAAATATCTAACAAATAAAGAGTAGAGGAGGAAGAAAAAGATAGGAGAGAAATAAAGAATCATAAGACTGTGTTTATAATAGTGTAATAAGTAAGTTAAGTTAGATGGTTAGATAGTAAAGAAGCTGCCCTTGAACCTTTAGTAACCACGAATCCAAAGCGTACAATGGAAATAAGTACATATCTATAGATAATCACCCTAAATGTAAATGGACTGAATGCACCAATCAAAAGACACAGAGTAAAAGAATGGATAAAAAAGCAAGACCCATCTATATGCTACCTACAAGAGACTCATGTCAAATCCAAAGACATACAAAGACTAAAAGTGAAGGGATGGAAAAAGATATTTCATGCAAACAATAGGAAGAAAAAAGGTGTTGCAGTACTTGTATCCGACAAAATAGACTTCAAAACAAAGGAAGTAACAAGAGACAAAGAAAGACAATACACAATGATAAAGGGGTCAGTCCAACAAGAGGATATAACCATTATAAAAATCTATATACCCAACAGAGGAGCACATACATATGTAAAACAAATACTAACAGAATTAAAGGAGGAAATAGAACACAAGGCACTCATTTTAGGAGACTTCAACACACCACTCACTCCAAAGGACAGATCACCAGACACAAAATAAGTAAGGATACAGAGGCACTGAACAACACATTAGAACAGATGGACCTAACAGACAAGTACAGAACTCTACACCTAAAAGCAGCAGGATACATATTCTTCTCAAGTGCACATGGAACATTTTCCAGAATAGACCACATACTAGGCCACAAAAAGAGCCTCAGTAAATTCAGAAAGAGTGAAAGGGTAGCAACTAACTTCTCAGATTACAAAAGTATAAAACTAGAAATAAATTGTACAACGAAAACAGAAAGGCTCAAAAACACATGAAAGCTCAATTTATAAGTTGCTCCTAAATAATCAATGGATCAATGACCAAATTAAAACAGAGATCATGCGATATACAGAGACAAATGAGAACAATAGCACAATGCCCCAATTTCTGTGGGACACAGAAAAGGCAGTTTTAAGAGGAAAGTATATAGCAATCCAGGCGTATTTAAAGAAAGAAGAACAAACCCAAATGAATAGCCTAAATTCACAATTATTGAAATTGGAAAAAGAACAAATGAGGCCCAAAGTCAGCAGAAGGAGGGACATAATAAAGATCAGAGAAGAAATAAATAAAATTGAGAAGAATGAAACAATAGGAAAAAATAAATGAAACCAAGGACTTGTTCTTTGAGAAAATAAAGTAGATAAACCCCTAGCCAGACTTATCAAGAAAAAAAGAATCTGCACACATAAACAGATTCAGAAATGAGAAAGGAAAAATCATGAGGGACACCACAGAAATACAAAGAATTATTAGAGAATACTATGAAAATCTATATGCTAACAAACTGGATAACCTAGAAGAAATGGACAACTTTCTAGAAAAATACAACCTTCCAAGACTGACCCAGGAAGAAACAGAAAATCTAAACAGACCAATTACCAGCAATGAAATTGAATTGGTAATCAAAAAACCATTCAAGAATAAAACGTCAAGATCAGATGGATTCACTGCTGAATTTTCTCAGACATTTAGATAAGACATAATACCAATTCTCCTTAAAGTTTTCCAAAAAAACAGAAGAGAAGGGAATATTTCCAAACTCATTCTATGAAGCCAGCATCACTCTAATACCAAAACCAGGCAAAGACACCACAAAAAAAGAAAATTACAGACCAATATCCCAAAAATACTCAACAAAATATTAGCAAACTGAATTCAAAAATACATCAAGAGGATTGTATACCAAGATCAAGTGGGATTCATCCCAGGATGCAAGGATGGTACAACATTTGAAAATCCACCAACACCATTCACCACATCAACAAAAAGAAGGACAAAAACCACATGATCATCTCCATAGATGCTAAAAAAGCATTTGGCAAAATTCAACATCCATTCATGATAAAAACTCTCTACAAAATAGGTATAGAGGGCAGTACCTTAACATAATAAAGGCCATATATGACAAACCCGCAGTCAACATCATACTTAACAGCCTAAAGCTGAAAGCTTTTCCTCTAAGATTGGGAAGAAGGCAAAGATTCCCACTCTCCCCACTTTTGTTCAATATAGTACTGGAGGTCCTAGCCACAAAAATCAGACAACACAATGAAATAAAAGGCAGAAGTCAAACTGTCAGTGTTTGCAGATGACATGATATTGTACATAAAAAACCCTAAAGAATCCACTCCAAAATTACTAAGACTAGTATCTGAATTCAGCAATGTTGCAGGATACAAAATTAATACACAGAAATCTGTGGCTTTCCTGTACACTAACAATGAACTAGCAGAAAGAGAAATCAGGAAAAGAATTCCATTCACAATTGCATCAAATAGAATAAAATATCTAGGAATAAATCTAACCAAGGAAGTGAAAGACCTATATTCTGAAAACTACAAGACACTCTTAAGAGAAATTAAAGAGGACACTAATAAATGGAAATTCATCCAATGCTCTTGGGTAGGAAGAATTATATTTTCAAACTGGCCTTCCTGCCTAAAGCAATCTACAGATTCAATGCAATCCCTATCAAAATACCGACAGCATTCTTAAACGAACTGGAACAAATAGTTCTAAAATTCATATGGAACCACAAAAGACCCCGAATAGCCAAAGCAACTCTGAGAAGGAAAAATAATCCAGGGGGGATCTCACTTCCCAACTTCAAGCTCTACTACAAAGCCACAGTAATCAAAGACAATTGGTACTGGCACAAGAACAGACCCATAGACCAGTGGAACAGAAAAGAGAGTCCAGATATTAACCTAAGCATATTTCATCAATTAATATACTATAAAGGAGCCATGGATATACAATGGGGAAATGACAGCCTTTTCAACAACTGGTTTCGGCAAAACTGGACAGCTACATGTAAGAGAATGAACCTGGATCACTGTCTAACTCCATATACAAAAGTAAACTCGAAATGGATCAAAGACATGAATGTAAGTCATGAAACCATAAAATTCTTAGAAGAAAATAAAAGCAAACTCTCTTGAATATAAACATGAGCAACTTCTTGATGAACATATCTCCATGGGCAAGGGAAACAAAATCAAAAACGAACAAGTGAGACTATATTAAACTAAAAAGCTTCTGTACAGCAAAGGAAACCAGCAGAACAGAAAGGCATTGTACAGTATGGGAAAACATATTCATAAATGACATACCCGATAAGGGGTTGACATCCAAAATATACAAAGAGCTCACATACCTCAACAAAGATCAAATAAACCAATTAAAAACTGGGGAGAGGATATGAACAGACACTTCTCCAGAGAAGAAATTCAGATGGCCAACAGACACATGAAAAGATGCTCCACATCACTAATCATCAGAGGAATGCAAATTAAAACCACAATGAGATATCCCCTCACACCAGTTAGGATGGCCACCATCCAAAAGACTAACAACAACAAATGTTGGCAAGGATATGGAGAAAGGGGAACCCTCCTACACTGCCGGAGAGAATGTAAAATAGTTCAAGCAACGTGGAAAGCAGTATGGAGGTTCCTCAAAAAACTCACAATAGAAATACAATTTGACCCAGGAATTCCACTCCTAGGAATTTACCCTAAGAATGCAGTAGCCCAGTTTGAAAAAGATATATGCACACTATTTTATCACAGCACTATTTACAAGAGCCAAAAATGGAAGAAACCTCAGTGTCCATCAATAGATGAATGGATAAAGAAGATGTGGTACATATACACAATGGAATATTATTCAGCCATAAAAAGAAAATAAACCCTATGATTTGCAACAACATGGATGGAGCTAGAGGGTATTATGCTCAGTGAAATAAGCCAGGCAGAGAAAGACAAGTATCAAATGATTCATTCATGTGTAGAGTATAAGAACAAAGGAAAAACTGAAGGAACAAAACATCAGCCATAAAAAGAAAATAAACCCTATGATTTGCAACAACATGGATGGAGCTAGAGGGTATTATGCTCAGTGAAATAAGCCAGGCAGAGAAAGACAAGTATCAAATGATTCATTCATGTGTAGAGTATAAGAACAAAGGAAAAACTGAAGGAACAAAACAACAGCAGACTCACAGAACCCAAGAATGGACTAACAGTTACCAAAGGGAAAGGGACTGGGGAGGATGGGTGGGAAGGGAGGGATAAGGACAAAAAGGGGCATTGTGATTGGCCCACATTATGTTGGATGGTGGGGCACAGAGAAGGCAGTATAGCACAGAGAAGACAAGTAGTGATTCTATAATAGCACCTTACTATGATGATGGACAGTGACTGTAATGGAGTATGTGGGTGGGACTTGATAATGGGGGAAATCTAGTAACCACAATGTTGCTCATGTAATTGTATATTAATGATACCAAAAAATACACACACACACACACACACACACACACACACACACACACACATACACACACACATATATATATTATTCATGGATAAATTCAATATCTTCAAATTTTAGTCAAAAGTCACTTTTGTGTTTATTCTTATGAATTCTGAAAAATGATCTTTTAAATGGCACCAAAAATCATCATTCTACATTTATTACTTCTTTGGGGGAAAAAAGAGAGGAAATATTTAATGGAGTGAATTATAACATCGTACAAGGGAGAACAAATTCTGAGATGGTAAACAAAAGTCTATAAAACTCAGCACAAAAATTAAGTAACTATACAGGAGCATTACTACTTACGGATAGAATTCTGAAAGCTGTTCAGCTATTGCATAAGCTGTCGGGTCTCTGTCTAAGACGAACAGAGTAATATCTGACTCCTTCTGTAGAATGGCTCTTGTGTGTCCTCCTGAACCAAATGTCATATCTAGAAAAATCTAGCCAACACAGAAAAAAAATTAGCCCTTAGCATAAACAAAATTTATTCTTGCTAGCTACCTTAATTTCTGTTAACATATATTGATTTTCAGAGCTGATAGCAAATAGAAAAAACACAACTGTTTTGCCTAGAGTTCAATTTGTTACACATGAGATCTGGATTAATTATGAGTAGTCCAAAAGAATTGTTTCAAGTATCAATAAAATGATAATCTCTCACACAACTTGCAAATTCAAGACAAATTTATATTTCCCTCCATAATGTCAAACTGGCTTTAGCACAGTGTTGTACTGCTAGCTTTTTAATGCTTTCCAGCACCTGGGTGGTAAAGATATAGCCAACAATTTGTTATCATTTGGAGATAACTGACAAGTAGTATGGCTTACTTTACCTCAATTTCTTGAAATGCTTTATATTAAACATAAAAATATTCAATGCTAGAGAATGAAAGAGAGAGAAAAATGAATATACCTAACAATAAACATTCATAGGAGAATCTTTCAAAATCTAACCTGGAAAATTGATGAATTAACAAACATGACTTGGAAAAAGCCCAAGGCTTAAGTCAAAACACCTGAGGTAAATTCTAGCATTGCTATTAAGTAGCTATGTGTCTTTGGGAAAAGCACTTAATATTCCAGTGTTTTTAGATTTCTCCAGAGTTTAGAAAGAAGAAGAAGATCTGGAAGAAAAGAAGATACCACCAATACCTACCTAATTGGTAAAATGACATACAATTTCTCACCTAAACCAAGACACTTTTGAGACTGAAAGATTTGTCAGTAATACTTTGCCTGGACAACAGGATACTATGGAACATAGGTACATATCTTTAAATTCGTGGATCACTCTAGATATACAATAAAGGTAACTGGATCTGAATCTATTTTTCAGCTCTTTGGTTTGGCCATACAGTGTAGAAAACAGGTCACAGTTGGGCAAGAAACCAGAACTGGACCATATGAAATAAATGTGCAAGCAAATTAATTGATTGTGACTGATTTGGAAGTCAAGACTCTCTCAAAGTTATGCTCTTAGTTTAATGTGCCCTTTCAATAAGCTTCACTGGCATGAAAATAAAAAAAATAAATAACTCCAATATTACTGAATACTATGACAAATAACATATACTGTAAGCTAAACTATTAAAAACATTTAAACATATAACTCTTAGAAAGTTCATGTGTACATAGGACAAAAAGGGAAATTCTTGCAATAGATCTGAACATTTCCCCACCCTTCATGTTACAACTTATTTCAGGGAGGGTGGTCAGAAATAAGGTACAGTTATGCTTTAATTTTCTGCTACCATCTACCATGCTAAGTCCCATCCCCTGATCAAGTCCTCAGAAAAGTTAGTCTGACATTCCAATATGGAGGAAATCTTTTGATCAAAATTGAGAAGAAGAAGGATGAAAATTATGAGAAGTAAATGCGGTAAAAATGGATAAGGACTACTTTTTAATATAAATGTGTTAGTATAACTTAAAGTTGCACTTCTATCACTGTCAGCACAAAAGGCATGGCTACACATATTTTTCACCATCTTAAAACAAAACTTTAAAACAATACATAAAGTCTTATTATTTGATGGTTGTTAGGAGTACATACTTAAATCTCATGATTGAATAATTTCTTTTCTGTTTGTTAACTTATTTTATACTTTCTTATGAGTAGGTAAAAATCTTCCACCATACCTTACTTCAGTTCTAAAATTACTAGGGGTTTGGCATAATTTTATCAAGAACTTTTCCCTGGCAAAACTATAACTCACTTTCTTGTTATGCCCCAACACCAAGTCGTGCTATAACTAGATTTAAACTAAGAACATGTCAAATAAAGTAATTTGTATATGATTATCTTATCTCAAGCCAGGAAAGACCCAATCAATATTTAAAAAGAAAAGTCCTCATCATTAAACATATTCTGGAAAATGTGAGATGATTATAATTTACATGATTATTTTTTAATATATCATGATTATGCCCTTGGAGATTTACTGACAATCAAGGAAGTTTCCATAGGGAAAAAAAAATAGCCTATTATTACCAGACAAGCATAACACAAAGCAAAAAGTGGGAGATAAATGGGATTTATGAAACTAGACGTGAATTCCATCGTATGTCCTCAGTTAATAGGTGAAAAAAGCCATCGACTTTCATTTTTAAAATTCTAATATACATTGCTCATCAAGTGTAATAGTGACATCTAGGCCTCCTGAGTCCCCCAATATTACAATTGAAAAGGGAGTCAATTAGTTTTTTCCTTTTCCTGGGTAATTAATTTGACACAAGATCACATTTTTAAATTTGTACAAGTTGATAATGAAACAAGGAGACTGGACAAATTTGTTGATTAACAAATGCAGAACGAGGAAATCTGAACATTTCAAAATAATCTTTCTATGGGTCTCATCTAGACATATATTCAAATGCATATCATATGCTCCAAACATAAATGAAACTTCCTTTGAAATTACCTGATTTAATTTGTATATAAAGTCGAACCCTTATTTAATAACAAGAGTTTATTCTGGTAATTTCCATTTACCACCTGTATAACCCTGGCCAAATAATTTTAACTTTCTGAGCTTCAACTGCTTCATCTAAGAAATGGGGATTAATGTACCCTTGTTTACATCACAGAGCTTTCTTCAGGAAGAAATTCTTATTTCTTCCTTATGTTCATGAAGTAGGTGTTATTAGATTGTAAATAAATAGAAACTAAGATGACACAAAGCAGGAATTGAATACAGGTGTATCTGGCTCTAAAATCTATGTTCTTTCTCACACCACTCTGCTTCTGCATTAAATGAATAAAGTCTGTATTTGTGTACTGCTTATGGTTTATCAAGCATTAATGTTTTCCAACTTAGTCTAACAAAAGTTCTGTAAGGAAGTACGGACAAGTGGCATTATCATTTTTGCAAATAGAAAACTCAGGTGCACAGAGACACTGTGACTTGATTAAGATAATATTATTAGTAAGAGAGAGAGAACTCTAAGCCAGTTGTCACCAACTCTTAAATTCTCTGCTCTTTCTTGAAAGAAACAGAAGAAGGGAGGGTGGGAATATAAGAAAGAATTCAGGAAAAAAATGGATGACATAAGAAAGAATTAAGGCAGAGAGGCTTTACAAAAATTATACAAGTTTTTTTTTTATCACTCATTCCCATTGAAATTTAGGGCTCTTGAAAACTATGTCTTTACATTTGTATAGCAGAATAACTCTTGAGATATGTATATTTCTCTCTCTCTTTTCCTTCTCTTTCAAGTAGATGCCTAGGTATTTAGAGCTTCAGAATGTATGCCACACATACACAGACACATGGGTGGTTAGATCTAGAAAGACCCATGAAATAACCCAAGATTAATTCCATTATTATACACTGCTCTATCCTTCTACAGTATACATAGTGCTACATTTTTAAACCTCTCAAATGTGATATCCTTTAAGACTAAGCTAAGGCTGCTCTCTGAAGGTGGAGACTAACAAATCAAGGGAGTAGCCTGAAGGTGGGAGTAACAAATCAAGATCATCTTGCCAACATGATAATTACATTATTCCCTCCCAACCCCTCACATCCAACAGTTCTTATCATTGAAATTTTCACCCTGAAACGACACTGTTAAAATTGGACATGAAAACATTTTTAGCCATGAATAGTATGAGGGTAGATCTTCCAGTGTTAGATCTTCCTATTTCATTTTCCTAATGATGATTAGTCATTTTCAATCTGTGCAAGATTTTTAATAGTAAGTTCTCAACCGAATTTGGAAAAAATAAGGCCTGATTTCACTTTAAAATTTTTTCCTATGAATATTATTTTTCTGGCAATTACTAATTTTGAATATTTAGAATTAAAATGCTTTTGGAAGAATTTTAAACTTTACCTATTTGCAACTAACTTCATTTTGAAATGCTGAAATATCTCAGACATACAATTAACTCTCTGGATTTTCTTCAGAGGGTAATTAAAATGTATGGCATTCATCAATAATCTGTATATATACTGAACATTCCATATAGGTATGACCACAGGGGTAATACAAAGTTATTAAGTTATACGTCTTCCAGTTTGGTGAAAGAATTTAGACAAGCACACAAATACTTACTGGTAAAAAGAAATTAGCAATACAACAAAAGCATACATAACATTTTACAAGGAGTGAAAAAGCAGACATTTGTTTTAAACAGTGGTGAGATAGATAATATTAGAGTAGGTTACAGTAAATTCAGCTGGAACTTGAAGGATAAGCAGAACTCAGAGCTCACCCTTTCTCCTCACTTTCCCAAATTCTCCAAATCCAAATAGTTACCAAGTTGTATTGACTTTATCATATAGATATTTCTAAAATCTTTCCACTCCTATTTTTAAGTCAGGCCCCATATTTCTTTACTTTACTCTTGCAACAGGCTCACAACTCATATCCGTGCCTCTAATCTCACTTCTAATTCTTCTTGCTACACTGTTAACAGGATATCCCATCTAAAGGATAAAACTGTATGTAGCCTATGACATTCCTATTTAAATATCCTCACAAGTTCCCCTAAGCTACATGATAGAGTCCAAACTTCAAGGTGTAATGGATAATATTCTTCATGTTATGGCCACTGAACTTCTTTCCAACATCATATATCACTACTCTTACACTTGAATTTTACTCCTATGTTCTCCAGTCATTCAGATGCACATGCAAATATCAGATATGCCAAGCTGTCTCATGCCTTCTCTCCCTTTTGCCTTATTTCAACTCTCTTCAACTTTATTCTCAAGCAATTATGAGAATCTGAATATGTCCACAGTTCTACTTAAAGCTCTGGAAATACAACTGTAGATCAAAATAGACATGGCTCCTGCTATCATGTAGTTTTCAGCTGGAGATTTTAGTGTCTTTAATATACAGTTATTTCTTTCTAGAATACCTCTGAAAGATGCCCTAAATATTTATGTTCCTGGAGCCAAACAATACAAGACATATTGAGTATAATCAACAC